CCCCCCCCCCCCCCCCCCCCCCCCCCCCCCGCTGTGTACTTTGAGTGAGCTGTGAAATAGGCATTATAAATAGTGGTCATGGGTTGTGTATATTTAGCCCCTGAAACAGCGTCTGAAACCAGTGGGTTTGTCTGAGGGGACTGTCATTACGGAACTAGAAGCGTGCTCTGCCTTATACTTAATGTTGCCTTTGTTCAGTAAGTACTGAGCATTGTGTGTCATAGAAGGGATAGTTTATTAATGTACCATTGTATCTGTATGTGTTGCTTCATGCTCTTATTCTATGTTTTTGATGACAGGAGCTCCTGCATAGGACGTCACTGGAGAACCAGAAGCTGAGTCTTATGGGGGAGGTGTCCTACCTGAAAATAAAGCTTGCAGACATGGAGGGAAAACAGGGCCATGGGGCTGAAAGGCAGCACAAAGCAGAGGTAGGGCAGTAACATGCCTATCCCTTGTGATCAGCAAGGTTTTATTTTTTCATGTAAAGTACAGTATGGGCAGTAGATATGGTTTTGTTGTTTGTCAGAACTAATTTAAAGCTCCATGAAAACAAGGTTGCCTTGTTGTAGCATATCACTAGTTAGACTTTATTTACTTGCTTTTCATTAGTAAGAACCATAGTTTCTCAAGTGTTAGCTATCAAAAATGTCCATCTTGACTAGTTTTGCAATTCAATTTCATATTTTTGATTAGCAGATATATATCTATATGAGTGTAAATGCCTCATATCCAACTGTTCCGACTGTTTGCAAGTGGGAATTAGTTTAGTTAAAATAAAAAATCTGCCTTGTGTTCTGATGGATCTAACCTTAAAGTCAGCTGCTGATTTTATGGAAGACCATAAACACTTTCTGGACGGATGGAAGGGAACATTTACCCAAACCCTGGCTCTGTTGTTCCTGGGCAAAGTGTACAGGAAAAAAGTCTCCAAGGGGTTTAAATATTTTGTCAGTTTAAACTGAATCATGTATTTGCTTAAGACCGATGTGTTAGGTTACCAGCAGACATCCTGGGCATTCAGTGGCACATATGAGTTGGAGAAAGGGGATGCAGGGAAAGCAGCGCTACTACCAGACAGGATACTGTAATGTATGTAGTTACTGTCAAAACACTGCTGGTCAAAGAGCCTTTGTGTCCTCAGGTTAAAAGAGTTCAGGCATAGCGGAGCTGGCATGATGGATGGCGGGCCAAATATGAGTGTGTGTAGGCTTCAGCCCAGAGAATTTTGCTTGTGGTGGTGGATACAGGTTGACTTGGCCATTTGGAAAAAGGACCCTGTTCCTAACTGGAGGCATGTTCCCAAAAACATTTGACAGCTATAAACAAAATGAAAATGTGAATAAATTACTTATTACTTAAAGAAATGGCATACTGTAGGTGTGTTTTAGTAGACAGTAGACATGTTTCAGCACTTCTTAATCCTGCTTTCATCATGTGCACCAACCCAACTTTCCCTACAACAGCTGCTTGGACTTAAAGAGAACAGGAAAAAATCAGCTTTGAACACTTTACTGGCCTCCCACGTGCTGCCTCTACTACACAAACATGTCCACACAGATGCATGTTTGCACACACACACACACACAAACACACACCACACACACACACACACACACACACACACGTGGAAGCCTCCTTGCTGTGGAGCCAGTAAAGCCATAGTTAAATTTAGCCATGGAGGCACTCAATATCATCTGTCATATCCGCTGTACTGGACCCCAAGTGACACTTCCTCTGTCCACAGTCCGAGCATAGCTCGCCTGCTGTTTATACTCTTTCTGAAGGAACATGGGCACGGATCACCTCTAAAAGATGGCAAACTCAATCACCCCTCTTCCTCTAACATAGGATCACTATCATATTTATGTATGCAGACTCAAGACCACATACATGAGGTAGAAGGAAAAGCTGTTTTAAAAGATCACTTCTTACACAATGTATTCATACACAAACACAGATATACCGTATTGTACAGTATATCCTCTTCTCTTTCTAAACATTCCTCTAATTTCTTTTTCCCCCACTGCATCTGACAGAGTGTAGTGAATTTCATTAGTGAGCTGCAGGAGCAGATGTGTAGGTTTCAGAAAGAGATCAATAGCAAGATCCAGGAGAAAAAGGCCTTGGAGAACCCGGCTGACAGCAGCTCTCCAGTGGCGTGCCCTACTGAGTCCACTGAGGGCCCGGCCTCAAAACCTGGGCCATCCTCTGACAGAACCTCAAGGGTGACGCACAAACTAGATGAGGCTCCAGATGGACCTGATGGGAACACACACAGCCTGGAAGAGGGTAGCTCAGATGCAGAACGGCAAAACCACTGTGGAGGAGAAAGTGTAGGCACAGGCCGTCAGCATGACTTCTAATGTTGTGTTCAGCATGGATTGTCTAACTTTAGTGTGTGTAATCTTTAAATTCAGATGCAAATGAAACAAGCACCCGCCCAATATCCTCAGCAGTGTTCACTTGCCATGTGCAACTTGTTCAGTTTGTTTGGAAAAACAACAAAGCTAATTGCATTGATCTGTTAAGAATCAGTGTGTGACAGCACTAAAAGGTGCATTTCATGTCATTTAATGTTGCGTGTTATGAAAGAGTAATGTGCAGATTTACTAACATCATTGGAATATTTAAACCAGCTAAATGTTCTTGTGCGTTCTGTTTTAGGGATTAATTAAGGAGCTCAGGATTCTTAAGGACAAAGTGGAGCACCTGGAGGATCAGAAGTTACAGTACGAGAAGAAACTCAAAGCAACCAAGGTAAAAGAAAGTTCTTAATTTCATGGTGTCTAGAGTTTGCAATACACCATCAGTGCCCAAATTCCACTGCTAACTGTCCATCCAACTTTCCTAAATGCTGTCCAATCCGATGTTCCAGCCAGTTAAGTGAGTCATTCTGTCTTGCACACACTCTCTCATTCACGGACACCTATGTTTTCTTAAGAAGTCTGAGAACTATTTTACCTTCTATTTTAAACTACTGTAGAAATAGGTTTAATGATGGCTTAGTCGTTATTTAATGTCTTGTCTCCTTGTATACTTTGGCCTGATCCCACGGCATTAAAACTTCTTAGAGATTGGATTATCCCTCCCATTATTTCATCATCTCTCTCAATCTTTCTTGCTGTCTTTCCCTTCAGGTACAACAGCTGCCTGTGCATTAAACATATCTCATTGTGCTGTAGTTTGATTTTAAAAGACAGATCTCCTACTTCACCTTTAATCCCATGCAACTCCTGTAAGTGCTGTTTGGCCAACCGACAGTCACAACATGATTGACATCAGAATTATACAGGGAAAAAAGGTTTAATATGTTGACATTTAAAAGCACCAAATATCCTATTGGCAGCTCTCCATCAACTGGATGTTACCCAGATTTACAAAATGAACAAATACTACTAATTTGGCAGGAAATATCTTGTTATTCTTAGTTTAGATCTGGTTACTGGTAGCATATTGTTAGACAAATATTTTTTAATCAAACCAGGAAATCTTAATACACACTAGAATAATTGACTGCAGATGTTGATATAGCAGATACTGAGTTATAGAGAATGCTTTTATGTGTGAGTGTATGTATCTTACTCTCCCTTTTAAAACAAATTAGTGGGAAGTAAAACGGGGGTATGATGTGGTATATGAGACAAAAAAAATTCACTTTCTTCTACACAACATACAGACAGAACACACTGGCAAATAGATCAGCCTGAACTTAACTTTATTGCCATCTGTTTTTCCCTTATACTCTGTCACTTACTTCAAAACAAACTATAAACTCCAGACTCCAAACTTGGTTCTCTAAAATTCAGAGAAGAAACATTTGTGTGCTTTGTTGTGGGTGTTTTGTATATAGATAGTGGTGGAAAAAAAGCATCAATATCTTACAACATTTGGGTTTCAAGTGAGGACACGCGCTAGTACTTTGAATTAAGATGCCTGTACATGTCTTGTTTCTGTTAATATAAAGGTGCTTTTAGCTAACGGAAATATGTTTGGCACATACAGTACATTTGTGCATAACTGCATGTGCTTTCCACTAAGATCCCTCACTATGTGGCACCAACAGGCAGAGATCAGCAGTCTTCAGCAGCTTCTGCTCAGTAAGAACGCTGAGATCGAGAGCTTGCACACTCAGCTGCTGGCCAGACCCTCTCTATCCCCTGAGAGCTCAGAGAGAGGTAAGCAAAGCACCCAGCTCCAAGCCGTCGACCAGCCTGCCAACAGCAGACTCTCACTCTGACAGGGTTACCCAGCCTGATAGGTGACACAGTTAATGACTGAGTTAATGACTAATGTTTTTTTGCATTTATTGACTTGCAACTTCCAAAAGCTGTGGGAAAAATCTGTATTGGCCCTTAATACACTGTCGCATCATGGTTCTCTGTCTCTCTCTCTCTCAGAGGAGATGTACAGGAAGAGGCTAAACACCAAATGTAAGCCTGAATGGTACTTAATGAAAATAATTTTAAACCCACGGGCCATGTCTACTTTTGATCTTTCATTTCTTTCCTCTCTCCAGACTCCAGTCTCTTTATTTTATTATGTTTTGTTTCCTTCTGCTCTGAGCGGCAGCATTGACAATCACCAACAGGTTTCCAAAATTACATGATGCTCTATCTCTCTTCCTTTTGGCTTCAATCTTAGTAATTTATTCGGATTCCTGAAAGTATAATGTCTTGTTTGTTCTTAATAGATAGACCCTTGCTTAGTATAGGCACTGTCACTCTCCAGCATTGCTGCCTGTATGCCTGCAGTTGTTACAAAGTCTATTGACTGTGGGCCCATATATGTAAAAGCTGACATGGCTAAAGCTATGATTGGTGGATAAAAAAAGGCTTGGCTGAATCTCAGAATACATAGTTTACATGACACAAAAGTTCGGATGTTATGTTAGCATGTCTTTTTTCATTTCCTTTCTCTGTAAATAATCACATGCCACTATGTGTCTTTTTAAAACACTAATTTATATGACATGAGCAGCTGCCTATCGATATTAATAATCAGTGTGGGGTTTATCTTTATAGATCAGGAACTGCAGAAGCTTAGGAGTGGTATGAAATCACTGGTAGCTGCCAATGATGAAAAGGTAAGTTACCGGTGATCTGGAATCTCTTTCTGGTCAGCACATCTGTATATGATTATGCAGTATACAGCTGCGTGTGTGTTGTCATCAGTGTACTACAATAAAGTGTGCCTTACTGGCTTGTATATAGAAGTGCTATCATCACTGCCGTTTAAAAGGTTAGAAGGAAACTGTTTTTAGATGTTGTCATTTCTCAGAGGTGCCGCCCTCAGACCATTTATAGTACAGAGGGGCTTTTGTATTCTCCTCCCTCCCCGAGAATCTTGGACTTTAAAGACTTACAGACACGGGCCTACATGTGGCTCACTAGTGAAGACACACACGTACACACACCCAAGGCGAGCCATTTCAGGCAAAGCCACACTTAAGTAGGCCTCGACCTGCCAAGCCTAATTTTGGAGTGAGCTGCATTAAGAGAACCATGGCAAAACCAGGCATGGGCACCACTTCAAAAAACACACACTCCACGCAGCTGGTTACCACAACTAAGATCCATCCAGGCCTGTGTCAATCCCCTCCTTATCCACTCCTTTGATGTAAAGGCCATATGGTAGAAGAGAGAGACTTTTGTGTGGCATATCGGTCAATAACATAGTGAAGCATAGTCCATATGTGTGTATCCTAACCTTAGATAAACATCTTAATTGGGTTTTGTTGGCCTTGAACAGGACCGACGTATTGAAGAGCTCACTCTGCTCCTGAATCAGTGCAGGCAATTCAGAGAGGTCAGTCACAGCGCAAGACAAGGTAATCAGCTTATTCACTCCACTTATCCTTCCCTCGCAACATTTATTTTATGTTGCCATCAACGTTTGAGCATAATGAAAGCCACCACATTTCCTTCTTTAAGAGAAACGCATGCCTCTGCTTGAGTCTAGGAACAGATCTTTTTTCTCTTTGTTGCTTTAGCTCCACCTGCTGTTCGTTCATTATCAAATGGCAGGACTCAGTCAAGTAGCAGCGAGGAAGAAGAGCACGGACTGATGAAGAACACTGACTCTGCCAGTGCAAAATCTGAGGATGTCAAGTCTGAAGTGGGTACAAACTATTTCAGCCAGTCTCATACTGGTTCAAGTTTTTTGTTTGCATGAACTTGATTTATTTTTTGCCCATCACAGGTATCACATGTTTCCACAAACAGTTCTTCCTCCCAGCAAACATCTCTGTCGTCAGTCCAGAAAGACAGCGATTCCAGGTAGTGAAGCAACTTTTTCTCAATGGACGACTCCAGTATCTCATAGTTGGAATTAACTGGGATGACTGTGCTTTTATCTTCTCAGAACAGAACCACAGACTTTATCAAGTAGCATGAATGACCTAACAAATGGACCTTTACAAAAGGTATTTTGGGATCATCATACAAATCAAAGAATTAGGCATTTATGCGTATACTCACTCCTAAATGCTTCCATTCTTGAATTGTTATACAAGCTACTATACTGTTTCTTACATGAATGATGCATAAGATAACTCAGAATTGTATGAACATTGCAGTGTTTTGTACATGCAGTATATTTAAAGTTCATGAGTTCTTTTATATTTGTATCTGTGTGTGGTTTATCCAGAGTGGTCTGGGTGACACCAGAAGTCAGACACTGCCTGTGAATTCCTCTCTGTCAGAGCAGAATGGGATCGGAGACAGCAGCAGTGAAATCCAGAGTGAAAGGTCTCCAGATGGGAGCGAAGATGGAGACTCCAGCCAAAGTAAATCCAGGCATATTAACTCTACACATGATGTTATTTATGACATGATGGGTAGTGTGCAGGAATAACCCCTGGTATAGGATCAGACCTCCTTTTTCTGTGAAATAGCCATGAGGCCAGTCATTCCCATAAGCAAAGGCAGTATTCATATTTGGAGCGAACCACTCTGCTTTGACCAGGCGACCTTTGATCACAGCTATAATTGCAGAGGCTCCTGACAGAACAGATGGATCATGGGATAGACTTTCTTACCAAACACACCCTCTCTTGCTCTGATTGACCACATTCATCCCAGCTCCACCCTTCCTCAGCTTCACTAACCAGTTTTAACTTGAGCCCAACCCTGATTTCTCTCGGCAGTGTTCTGCTGTAGAATGGTGACTGACTGCAGCCTATATAATAACGCTCACACCTTGTAAAATTTACCTTAAACTGCTTCCTGTTCATGGGACATTAAGCGATGATTATTTGTTGAAATCAATGGTCTATAACCTGTGTTTTCTCTCCTGAATGGAGCACTGTGAAAAGGCTCACCACCACACGGGCACCACTTAGCTCTTAATGTTCTGTTTGGTACTATTTCTACTCAGTCATCATCAAAATTTGGTCTTTAACAATGATTCAACTACAGGAAATTTCAGACAATCTAATCTTTACAAAAATGCCATAATTGAAATGCCTTTTTATTTGGCAAGATTACATTGAGGCTATGTCTGCTCTAATTAACTCTATTTTAAGTATACTGCCATTTTAAACTAATCAAATGCATCTGTAAAATTTAGGTAGCCCTCTACATTATATAAATACAATTTGAACCATATTTGCACTAAGTAATATTACACTTACTGTGTTTTTTGTAACCTCTTAAAGGAAAGTCGGAGAAAGTTGATGAGAGCACTTCGAGCGATAATTCCCCGCTTCATTCTGGAGTAAATACACAGCCTGGCCAGCGAGCTGTGGGCTCACCAGAGTACATGAAGAATAACAGGAGTTTCAAGAGACTCTGGGGAAAGTGAGTGTGTGAAAACACATTGATACATCAACAATACACACCAACACAGAAAAAAGGGTAACGTTAAAATATATGTAACTTGTCAACAAAACTCCACATGAACTGCCAACAACAGTCAGGTGCTGGTAGGTCGCAGTACCATGTAGGACAAATTTAAATTAACCACCGCAAAGTGAAATGACTTTACTGTTTGCTCAACAAACCTAAGGAAGCTGCAAGCGAGATGCGTTGTTTGCTCTTAAATAAACCACAGTAAAGTAATTCCAGTGTGTGGTGGTTAATTCAGATTTTTTTTATTAGAAAATGTATAAATATGTACTGTCTTAATAAGATATGGTTTATATTAAATATATTGTGTATCAATAACATGTTTATGTGACGCAAAGAAAATGTATGCATATATTAAATACTCCTTCTGTAAGTACATAATTAATATTTTTTTATGTTTTTTATATAATATCATTAATATATTGTACTTTCAGTATTGAAAGACAACAATCATTTTAAGTATTTAATATTATAACTTTTATCTTCTTTTATCTTATTATTAATCTATTATAGCCTATTGTATCCATTTACTTTTAGCAACAATAAAGTAAATATATTGTATAATATATTATGAAAAATCCATTATTATATTACTTTGAGAATGAAAGTAGTTTCCAGCGTCTTAATCCAGAGAGTTTACCCTCATCCATACAGACTTCGAAGAACCCAGTCTGGAGGGCTCCAGGCAGCAGATCCAGATGCCGGTCAGTTTAGAAGAGGGGGACTGCGCGCAACAGCAGGACCCAGACTGACCCGGACCCCTGAATCTTATGACTCTGCACGGTAGAACTCAGTGTGCCTTTACCTAACCTTGTAGTCCAGTACTCCTACAGAATGGAGTACTGTATATGAATGAATGCTTTAATATAATGTAGATTGGTTCTCCTGCCTCATCCCCACCTCCACCATTTCCTAAACACTCTAGAGGCTCTAAGCTTTGTGTAAATGCATAGTGTGATTTATGTATTAAGATGACCATTTTGAATAATTGCAATAAATCAATACATTAATTATCTGATTTGTGCTTTTATATTTCAGTGATTTGAATATTCCATTCAGCCAGTGGACCAAGGGGCAGGTGTGTGGCTGGCTAGAGGACTATGGACTGGGCCAATATGTCAATCTCACCAGACAGTGGGTCGAAAATGGACAGACACTGCTGTCTGCTACACCTCAGGATTTTGAGAAGGTCAGATAATAAAACAGGACAGCTAATGACATTTTAAACTGAACAAAACAATTCAGTGATTGTGCATTTATAAATTTGTATTCAAGTGTTAGATCTGAGAGAAATGGAAACATAAAGGGGTTTATCAGGGAAAATTAAATTGCATGATGTTAATATATGATATGATACCCATAGTTTTTAGTTTCACTGTGACAAACAGTCCTTTCTGACCTTAGGAGATGGGTATGAAGAATCCACTGCACAGGAAGAAGCTGCAACTTGCTCTGAATGCATTCACCACTAAAGTTATAGAGAAATCATCAGAGCTGGACTACATCTGGGTCACCCGTAAGACTCGTTCTACATGGAATATTTTCAACTTCACATGCTGAATGTTCTCATTTGAATCACATCTACAAATAGAGAGTGGGACTTTTCATCCCAAACAAAGAAATGTAATGTGAGATGTAAATATATTTGAATAGGATGCAAATACAGGCCAGCATTCAAAACCAGGAACTGTATCATAACTGAGCAGTTACAGTGAACATGTTTTTACTGATGATACGTGTATCAGCATTAAAGGTTTGAGGGTGAAATGAATAAATGTCTGATTTTTACTCCTTTAGGCTGGTTGGATGATATTGGTTTGCCTCAATATAAAGACCAGTTCCATGAAGCACGAGTAGATGGTCGAATGATACAATACCTCACAGTGGTAAGACGTAATGCTGAATGTACTGTAACATGTTCTATTGAATTGGAGGCCTGGAAAATACATTTATTTAAATTTCATTTCATGTACATGAAATTAAACAATGGTATGAATCTGTATGCTTTTCACAAAGTTCAATGCTGTGCTTTTGTTGTTCACTCAGAATGACCTCTTGACTCTAAAGGTCACCAGCCAGCTTCACCATCTCAGTATTAAATGTGCCATCCATGTCCTTCATGCCAACAAGTTCAACCCCAACTGTCTTCGGCGTAGGCCAGGAGAAGAGGTAAGCCAAGATGGAAAGGAGTTTGTGGAAGTTGAAATTGTGAGTTGTATGTAGCAGTTTAATGTTTTGCTACATTTTGTGTTTAAATTCGAAATGTTAACACTCAGACCTGAGAGAGTGTAACACATTACAGGCATTCAAACTCAAGTACTTTTTATGAGAAGTGTTTGACTGAGATACTGCTTTAAAATGGTAACAGATGTAATCACATCGGTTGCCCACAAGATGGCGACAGACAGGTATTAAATGCTTTCAAACAAAGAGCATTTTTCCTTTCATGCAACTGCTTCCTGGTGCTGTTTAAGCCTCATTCTGCCCACTTCTAATGTATTTAGAAGAAGCGGCAAACAGTTATGAATGAGATGGAAGGAGGTATAATGGCAATTCATATTTTTATTTTTAACTTCTTCAGAGACAACCCTCTCCCTCAGAGGTGGTTCAGTGGTCTAACCATCGCGTGATGGAGTGGCTAAGAGCAGTGGATCTAGCTGAGTATGCTCCTAATCTACGGGGCAGTGGTGTTCATGGTGGGCTGATTGTAAGTGATTGTGTACTGCAAATTCTGAGTTTTTCTGCACGTTTTTCAAGTCATACTGGCAGCACTTGCTTGAATTACATGCCATCTGCTGTCAATATGCTCTTCCACAGATCCTGGAGCCTCGCTTCAGCTCAGAGACTTTGGCCCTGCTGTTAAATATTCCTCCACAGAAGACTTTGCTCCGCCGCCACCTCGCCACCGCCTTCTCTGCCCTGGTGGGGACTCAGGCCACACAGGAGAAGAGAGAGTATGGCAATGCCACAGGCCATGTGCCACTCACTACCACAGCTAAAGTAAAGGTGAGAGCCCAATCTTATCTAAATTTCCTGTGGTTGTTGCAGCATAAAATCCAAATGATTTGTTAATGGGTTGGACTTCTCTGTGTTTTCAGCCAAAGAAGCTGGGATTCACCCAATTCAGTCACCTCAGAAAGAGGAAACCTGATGAATCTGCAGACTATATCTGCCCAATAGACAGTGGAGCACTGACGGTGAATGGGGTTTCTCGCTTGCCCTCTGCAGCACTCAGGGGCCTCAGCCCCAACTTGGACAGACAACCTGAGAGGCGGGAGCTGATGGGGATAAAAGCTCAGGCTAATGGCCCAAAACCCTAATTTAAAAAAATACAGTAGGAAATTCCACCCTCTCCACTACACTCCCGTCTCACTCACTGACTTTGTGAATCAGTGGAAATCCTAATGCAGAAATATACCTAAGATGAATCCATGTGATGATTTGCTGGATGGGCTGCAAAGATGCTGTGTTTAGCAGGTGATGTTAATTGTTGTTAATGTATTTTTATTCAATGTTGCTTTAACAAAGTTCATCTAAAATTCTGATGAATGGTGACATTGTGTGAACTGTTTTATGAAAGCTGCTCTCTGCATTCCTTATACAGTTGGTTTCCAAAGCTTATACTCTTGCTTTACAACAATGCATTTTACCGACCATTTTGTATCTAAACTTTAGTTAGAATATTAATGACCTTTTTCTTATTATATATCTGTATTGACTGTACAGAATAATAATTCATAATTACTTTAATTAATTCATGTTCTGTATGACTGACAAAAAAATCTATTAAAAATAAATCATTTTGATTCCCTTATGGTACACTTACTCTTCTGCACCTTCAAATTAGGCTTGTTGTTATACTTTAGGATTCTCTTACCCAAATGTTTGTTTGCCTTGTTTCATAAAATCATTGTGAATATGCAATAATATAATAAACATCAGGTAAAAAATCTTGTTTTTAGTCTTCATCAAAACAAAAATGTTTGCTGCCTTCTGGTGCCTAAATGCTTACTATTGTCTCTGAACAGCTTAAATGTGAGCTAAATTATAGCACACTGCACTTATGTCAGTATGAAATATATGTAGTTTTCAAGTTTAAGTGTTGTCTTAATTATTAGCATAGGTGCAGTGTATTTGATTATAGTCAGAGAGATAGTTTTGTGTGGTGCAAGAACCTTTAATGTTTTAGGGTGACATCACTTCCTTAAGATGAATCTTTTCTTGCATGGGCAGTTGATCCAAGACTGCCCACTACTGGTCAAACAATTATATATGAAAGGACACTTGACACTCCACTGTTGTTGTACTTTTTTATCTGTACCAGTCCAGATTCTTCAAGGTGGAAGACCTTTAAGTACAGCTGACAAGACTGAAATGGATCCTGGTTCTATTTGTTTGGTGATTTAGTAATAATCATCAAACAATCAGAGAGATCCTCTTGTTGGTGAGCTTTGATTTAAATATAATCTGGTGTTTAGGGGCCAGTTTATATAGAGGCAGTTATAGACAGTCATTGTCCAGTGAATGTTGTTGATCCTAGAAAGATTTTTAGTGGTTTGTTTATATAAAAAGACCATAGTGCTTTAAATAACATACTTCTTTAGATTGTTTTCAGGAAATACCCCTAAAAACTCATATAAGACTCAGACCTAGTTTAATTTTTTTATTTTAGCAATTTCATTGGTCAACTGCAACTAAGTGCTGTGTTTTCTTTTTGGTAGTGAGCAGGGTCCAGTGGTGATATGGCCTCTCTTAACATATTGTAGCTCAAAGGCCAAATGAAACATAGCAGACATAATTGCCCTGATTAGGTTTATCCACTTCATCTAATGCCACCGTATTATAATTGTTTTGCGGTTACTGTATTTGCCAAATAAGACAGAACCAGCAGTGGTAGGAATGTTCCACTTAATGCTGTAATGAAACAAAGTCTTTAGAAATGACACTGTCTGGGAGTGTTTTCCACCAATGTCAGTCCTAGTGAATCTACTAGGATTCTGTTGGCATGTCAATGTGGCAGACAGTGCAACAGTCAGCTCACCTCTGAACCCTCTTGCAGAAGCACACAGCCTCAATTAGACCAAACACAATAATTAGGGAATCTTTTACCTCTGCATATCATTAGTTTCCTAACGGAAAACATCCTGATCAATGATTACAAATGACAGGTTCATAAATAAATTAGTCCTGCTGATAAGTGTGTAACACTACTCAATTGATCCATGTTAAATGGAAATTAGACGGCTGCAGAAATGAGGATTAGAATATTAAATATAGAAGTCTGAAATACATATATGAATGTTTTTTCTTAATGACTAGGAAGTATCTGATATATATGATAAAAGGCAGCATACACATTTGGAAAGTGGTGACACAAAGTGATGTTTGTTGGTTTTCTTCAAATGAATGCTTATTTTTAACCAGCAGATGTCAGTGTTGCCTGTTGATATGCCATGAAGACTACCAGCCCAGAACATTCACAATTGACTCAGTGAGGTGCACTGAAGTATTTAGACAGAAAAAAGATTGTTTTTCTTTCACCCACTTTGCATTATTGTTTAATTTTCCCTTTTTGTACTGTAGGTATTTGTCAGTGAGGGGTAAGATTGCTATTTTGATTCAGTGACACTGCCTTGGCCCTCAGTTTACTACAACTGCATGTCGCCTGTTGGACTGCATTACTACATTTGTAATTACACTTTCAGTTGGACAGATTGGAACATGGGTATCATGCCAGCACAAAAGACATGAGAGGATGTCACATCATTAATCAAATACTGGGCTCAGTCTCATGTGGTTACAAATTAGAGTTCTAAAGTTTGCGTATTGGCCAGGAGAATGATGGACTGTCCAGGATTAGAAACACAATCTAATGACATTTGATGCACTTTTTTAAAATAGTCTGAATAACAAATGATCAATCTCAAAAATACAGACAGGGATTAATTTCTTTCTTTTTTTAAAGTAAAAACAGCTTAAATCTGTCCAAATGTCTTTCTATGTTATGCTGCTTTCTTCATTTTGTTGTGTGTGTGTGTGTGTGTGTGTGTGTGGGTTTATCTGTGAGTATGTATGCATGTCTTAAGAGAAGATGGCATTGTTTATAATAGTACGTCTTAGCTAATTTCAGTAATGTGATCCAGCCTCCACTAGCTGACAGTTTAATAGCTATTATTTGTGTCACTCTCTCATAACACTTTAGCAGTAAATTGCTATGTGCAGGAGACTGTGGTATGACTGACATCTTACCTTGTAATATGATATCTATTGTTTTAATTAAGTGAAAGCGATTGTGACATTTATTGGTTTCCGACTTACTTGTTAATGGCAGTATAAGAAAAAAAGTAGAAGTAAATTATCATGGTTTACATTGCATAAATAATTTGCAAAACCTTTGCTAATGATTACACATTATTCTCCCACTGTGTCAATTCATTTGAATACATCACAAATAAAAACATTGCATTGGTGATGCAACACAAACCCGCTCTTGGCAATGCTTGAGCTCTCTCTCTTCTCTCCGTCTCATCTTCTTTGTGTGTGTGTGTGTGTGTAAGTAATGTTTATTTATTCTGTATCAATCTTGTGGTGAAATTTTCCATTAAAATTACAGACGGAGACTTTTATTCTGTTACCAAGGCTCCTGTTTAAAGTAATGCCAGTAGCCAGTGTGTTAGTGCTTTAAGTCATCACCCTGTCTGTTTGATCTATGGACTCACTCAGATGTCTTTAGTGGAGCGTAATCATGTTTTTGTATGATGTCACCGGTCGTTCCTGTCATTAACTTGCCACCAGCTTGCCAGTTTGGGGAACATATTCGATGTTAGGGTGGCGCATGTGTTGCATACTCCCCATCCAGCCACTAAAGCTGTATCTGTCTCCAGCACACCAGTTTGTTCTGACAGGCCTGCCACAATGATGACTGCATCACCCAGATGCAGCAGAGCAGCTTGCGAGCCAACCCTGACACGCCGTCAAAAGGAGCAGCCAGCCGTCTGTATGAGCTTTCTTCTGCCCCATCAAACCTCAGAGCCCATCTCATCCTGTACAGCCAGCCACCATCAACCAGGCTGTTTCTCTCTGTTTGCTTTCCATGCTGAGTGCATCCCATGTAACAGCTCTTTCTGGTTTAGACGTAGTTTTATAATATTTACTCCCAAAATTCAGTGGTTATAAATCTCCTTGAATTATCTGCAGATGATCTGAAGGCACCACATAAAAATTGTGACCGTAGCAGTCCAAAACAATCATGATTGGATGTGATGTGGGGAACTTAAGTAGAAGAGTTCTGTTATGATCAGCCCCCTTGGCGCCAAGGGGCCTTTTTATTGGTAGCCAAGGCAACTCACTGCCTGTCATACTTAGTTTCTGGACTGGCTTTTTCAATGCCTGAAAAATGTGGGCAGTTCATTCAAAGACAGGAGAGATATCAGTCACTATGAGATAAGACGATTATAGAGACATTTAAGGAGACCTCCAATCCAATAAAGATTATGCATTGTGTCACTACTCTGGTTATTTAATGTAAAAATCTACATTAATCGGTTGTTACTATAATATATATTGCGTTATCAAGCTTTGACTTTGTCGAGAATGGACAGAAAGAAAGATGACTTGCTTCTGTTGCTGGGTTTTTCATATATTATAGAATATTACTGTTGAATTACTCCATTATGTCACTGTAGTGCTAAATAGTTTACATCTCCAAAGATTCACTTGTTTTATTGAATATGCACAAAAGTGTGAAGCAGTCTTTTAAACTTCAGGAGTTTTAGAAGTTATACACTCATTTTATTCGCATTCATTACACATCAAGACAAACAGGACTCCAGAACCTTGGGACTAACACAAAGATCAACCTTTAGGGTCATGTGACACACTGGTGGCATAAGACATTTTGCAAGTGGTCTGAGACACACAGGTAGACAGAGACCAAAATGACAGATTATATTGAAGTCAAGAAAAAGCATCTGGAAAATTGAAGCATAAACCACTGATAAAAAGGGAGTTGTGACTGTCCACCTAATGTCTGAATGGTTGTTCTGGCTGCCACAACTATCATAAAAGTGCTGAAACTCAAAAGAGTTCCCATGTCAGTGGAATGGACACAGTTTCCTTACCTCAGGCCATCATCATGGGTGATCAAGACTGACATGCATCACCAGAGGCTTTCATGTCCGATGAGAACACCTGTCTGACTCTCTGGGTGAAACTGGACAGAGGAATGCCATTGCAAATAACATTTCATATGTGCCACACTGCCTCAGAAGGCATGGTAGTATAAAGCAGCGGCAGAGATATGAAAAGTAATTTTGGGAAATAAAGGTTTTTGTTGAGTATGATAAAGTAAGTTGAGTATGAAAAAAAATATTTGAGAATCACAAAACTGATAAATATAGAAAAAACACTGCACTGTATAGGGCCTATACACTGATTGTTAAAATACAGGAATGCAGCAATAACTGTAAACTCCTTATGATGACTGGATATCATTTGGTAATGCTAGGGTTCAATGATTTTTGTTTTTGTTTTTGTTTCTAGACATTGCTCAAAGTTCTTGTTCAGAATAAAATAGTTGTGTATTAACTGGGATCATGCTGATAGATACTTTTTTTAGAGGTTTGTTCTTGTTCTTCAGGGCTCAATACAGGGACACAAAGAGACAATCAGTAGAGGTTAATGTTGACAATCTTTAAAGAGGACAGACAATGAATGCAAAACACTCTGAAGTGTTGCTAACTGAAAGTGTCATGCCAGCAGTGACATGGTGTATGCGTGTATTTATATATACAGTATATAATCTGCATTTTTAACCACAAGTTGCAGTACCTGTTCCACTACAGGTTTACCACATTGGATTTACCCATTTTTTGTGTCTTTCGTTACCTAACATTACAATACCGCATTTTAAATAGCATTGTAAAGTTTATTTAATGTGAACTGGCCACAAGCA